GTTATCTTGGGAATCATAAAGTCTCTCGAACATATCAATGGTTTTTTTATCCACTACAATTTCCTTTTCAACATCAGGCGCTTGTTCGGATCTTTATTTAAACGCAACCGACAGTGACAACTGTCTGCACAGGGAGTTTGTCGAATCTAACATCCTGCCATACTTCCATAACACAAATGCAGCCAATTCTTTTCTACTGTTACTCTGTTAGTCCATTTCCTCCGAGCTTTTCAATTTCAAGCAGACAATGAAGAGCTAAATATAGATGACTATATACAAACTGCTTCTGCATGTTTTTATTCTACCTCTCCATATAACTACAGCCTAGCTGACGATTTACGCATAATCCAAAACGTTGAGGCGTGAGATATCTTCATGATGGTTGTATATATCGTAAAATGATTTCCAATGATTCTAATGTTCAGGCTATTTATGGACTCCACGGAAATCTTTGCATAATTAGTGAAACCGTAGTATGTTATTTTCATTTGGTGTATCTTTTTCACAAGTGTTTCAAAACCGAAACTTAAGAACTCAAATAATGACTTCAGTGATAGAATAATAAATATGTCGCGGATAGGGCATGTAATAACATGATCCTTGTCATAAAACATTATTACATTTCCTGCATACAGGATTAATAAACCAGCTGCATAACATTAACCATGCTTACACATTATTCAATATTTTCTTCGTTGACATTTCATTAATATATTTCATTGCTGACCCGTCTCAGCGTTTTACCACCGTTCTTATTAATATGAAATCTGACTAACAGTCTTATTTGCAACGTTAGATAGGGAATAAGTGATTGGTATGTGGATTTTGAAGAACTTAAAAATTATCACTTTTGACATCCTCTCCTGAAAATGATTCTTCTATCAGAACATTTGATTTTAACACGCTGTACACTTTTCAAACTAAAGAAATGTCATCATTCTCTGGTTATGGCAGCTTTCTGTGCATTAAAGGTTAGCGATGGCACAGGTATATGGTATATTCTATACTAGGGCTTACATCCTGAAAAGTACTTAAGAGCAAAGAAGCATGCTGAGGATGAAGTCGTGAAATTGACAAATTTCTGTTTGTCTACATGTTGAGTTTGGTGGTTAGATCTCCCAACACAGTATAAAAATTGGCACAATCATGCCTAACTTATTTTGTTGTTTTGTTTTCATACGATGTTGTTTTTATCGAAGATCTTATCAAAACATGCTAGAGAAATCTTGTTAAGTTCTTCATTTCTTCATTTTGTCTCGGGAGAAGACTTATATTGGCTCTAGCCTGCTGTCTAAATCCTCTTGATTGTTTATATCAATAAAATATTCTGAAATGAAGTTCTTCAATTTTAGATTCATCACAATTAATAACTAAGTCTTAGCCTTTTATCTCGATCTTTTCCCTACAATGAACTTTACAAGTACAACGTTTTCTCCAATATGTTTTCCATTTACCTATGGCGAATTGTCCAATCCTAGATATTAACAACTCTGCTGCTCCAATCTACTATGTTGATTTATAGCAGTTGATTTGATATTCAAGGGTGTGTTCCCAATCTGATTTCTGAGTCAGTACCTGATACATAAACTTACAACACAGGGTCTCAAAGCATACAGCTTTATGTATTTTGCTCAGGAGCACTTTAATATTTGGACATATCTGACAACATTCAATCATTTTTGTGAACAAAAAATAATGAAATTGAAATTACAGTAGATAAATGAGCCTAAGAAAAAAAGAATTAAATAATTACGTTTAACGCCCATACCTATCAATTGCAGTAGCGCTTTGTCTGCTCTGTTACCAAAGCTGCACACGGCTCATGGATCTCATTTCCTGAACATTTATTGGCAGAAATAGCTGTATTTAATGCAAGTATTGCCTCAGAGATCGGTTTACCTACCAAGGCCAATACTTCCCCATGCCATCTCTGGACCTCCGACATATCGGACACGTTCCACTTCGTTACCTGCCTATGTCATTGAAAAGAACCGGTTCCCGGCTGAAGTCGCTCTTTAACATGCCGAGCAGGACAACTCGTATTGCTTGTCTATGTAATCTTAAACAGCGATTACAAAGACATTCCTTTACTGTCTGAGTGGCCACCCGGTCACCAGAAACATTTAGGAAGTGATTTTGCAAAGCTGTGAAAATCAGGAACCTTCGACTCGTACTTGTAAATCAAAAACCGGTGTAGGCGCTATGTTGAAGCCCTTGAACGACCTCCAGCATGACGTTTGGAAGGGTTACCGTTAGTTCAGTACAATTCATCGTTACTGAAACCATACCTCAGTGTCTGCTGTCATTGTCATTTATGGGACTAGTGCACCTCCGGATCTAAATTTTGACATCTCTTTCAAACACTTTAGATTTTCTTCCTCAGTCATCGCCTCCTATGTTTAAAATTTAGGCCCTAAGCATCACAGGTGATTACTAGAAGGATGATAAAGCTATATGATGCATATGAATTGATTGTTTGGCTCTACTGTATTTTATCCAAACTTGGACTAAAAGGTTTTACTTTTGTGACTTTTGTATGGATGGAAGAGCATGCAAGCACTTTTATGATTGACCAAACTCATAATGACCGATTTTAAAGACTTAAAAATATATCTTAAATATAATCTTTTATTCGATTTTTTATCGATTTTTGTAATATATCTTGACATCATCAAGGTGTATCGAATGACCTAAGTTGGTTAAGTGTATGGAAAAATCTTTCGGTAACCGTATTTTCTCATTGATAAATAATTTGCTAGTAAAATGAAGTTTCGCTTTTATGTCTGATAGAGTATATCTTACAAACCTTTTTTCTTATCTGAAAACATAACTTCTTGGACCGAACTAGTTTTAACATGACGGGTGACGTCGACTGCCGAAAGTTATTGTCTTGGTGATTTGTATGATTTTGTAATACTAGAAATCTTACATAGGACTTCAGCAGCAGTCGCTATATGGAAGCCCTCTCCATAGAATAGCAAAAATACGAGGGCTAATCGATAAGTTGTGAGCCTTGTATTGAAGAAGTAAAGAATGGATGTCCTTTGGTCAGTTTATGTCAAAGAGGTAGTACTCTAAGGTAAACAATGCAAGTAACTTTTGCAAAATGGACAAAATTGCGAAAAGAGCAGTGATTAGATATTTGCATAAAAAGGTCTGGCACCTAAGGATATTCATACTAATATGGTAGCAACATTAGGAAATAATGATCCTTCATATGCTACAGTGAGGAGATGGATGGCGGAATTAAAGTGTAACATGCAAAGCCTTTAGGATGACGCCCGTTTTGGAAGGCCTGTCACTGTTACAACTCTAGAAATGGTCAATAAAGTCCATGATATTGTTATAGCTGACACACGAGTTAAAGAGATACATAGCCATTACAATTGTGTTTTCACAGAAAAGAGTATATTCCATTTTTACGGAAGATCTTGCAATGAGAAATCTCGCAGCCCATTGGGTGCCAAGACTTCTGACAGTTTCCTAGAAGCACACCAGGCGGACTTTGTCGAATGCTTAGTGGAATCTTTTAGAGGTGAATATGGATGAAACGCTGGTCCATCATTCCACCCTAGAGGCCAAACAGTCTAAAGAATGGAAGCACACTGTCATTCCCGCCAAAGAAGGAAAAGACTGTTCCATCATCATCGGTTTTCTGGGATGCGGTTGGTACACTGATTGTATATCATTTGCAAAAGAGACAAAGAGTGAATGACACATATTATACATCACTTCTTAGGCAGTTAAGAGAAAATATCGAACTCAAGCGCAGCGGAAAAAAGTGTTAAGCCAGGTAAATGTCCCATGGCTGCGGTTAACGATTGAGGCTTCGAATTGATTGAGCATCCGCCGTAATCACATGATCTCACTCCATTAGACTTTCATTTATTTTTGAAATTGAAAGAGGTTATTTCCGGTACCCACCTTTGGCGACCTTCTGAACGGTCAAGAAAAGGACTTCTTTAAAAGTAGCATTGAGACTCTTATATATCGCTGGCTAAAGTGTATAGATACTTAACGGGATTTTCTTGAAAATTGTTGCTATATGTTCGCCATATATATTTGATTTACAACTTATCAATCAGCTTTCGTATTGAACACATATTGTTGACTATGGAGGTAAACAGAGATGAATCTAAATATTTATAATCATTAACATGGCTAGTGAGCATAAAAATGGAAAATGAAAAAGGGACTACCACTCATAATGGCTGTCATTATTTGTATTTGGCATTTTGTATTATTCCTACATAAATATGTACAAATCAATTGTATGCACTAAAAACTGACACACAAATAAAACAATATTTATCTACATTGCGTGATAAGTTACGAAGTATTTCCAACAATGTCTCATTCTTTATAGGTTCGTTCTTGGCCGGCAGATATTATGAACATTTATAACTACGTTCCCAGTCTTATCAATTCATTCAGTCATTGAACCACATCATATCGAATAAACTTCTGTCTTCTGTCTTCATTGTTAAGAGTGAAATAATGACACCAAGTGAGTGGCGAGTTTAATTAGTGTTCCGGCTCATCGTACAATTTTAGGGTGTCTGATGTTAGCCAGTACCGTGTCATATAAATTTCATACTGTCAGGACACTAGGCGTAGTGACCAGCCGATGACCAGTTAATGTTGTAGTGTGCCAGATAAGGTCAATTAATGACCCCTGCTGGAGTTTCAAGAGTTTAAACAGACTTTAGAATTCCTTCACTCTTATCTTCATCTCTGATAATTATTACTTTCATCTGTTTGATTGTATCTGTAAATTGTCTGTATCATGCATGTTTTAGTCAGTCCAATGTAAACCTCCGAGCTAGGCACACGTCTACTCGTACCTTCCAGTCTTAATACAGTTTAGAACCGAAGACAAGAGTTAATTGTTATTTTCTCTATTGTATCCGGAGGCTGAGGGTAACAACTGGTGGCAGCGGTGAAAGATTCTCTATCAAGTGTGGGACTCCGTTACATAACAAACTTGAAAGAGACTGAAAATGCCGACAGGCACAGGAGACGGAGAGACTGCCGACGCAGCCCAGAAGTTATCGGCTGCTCAGTCAAAAGTAGAAATCAGAAAATTAGAGCTCCAAGCAGAAGTAGAAAAGGAGAAGATTCAGTTAGAACGTGAAAAACTTCAGCGTGAGGCTGAAGAAAGAAACTTACGTTCTGAAAGGGAAGCTGAAAAGGAAAGAAGGGAAGCTGAACTTAAACTTGAAAAAGAAAGGATGGAAGCTGAAAAAGAAAGGAAGGACGCTGAGCTAAAGCTTAAAATGATGGAACTTGAAGTTGAGAAATTGAAGCTGGAAAACAAAAACAATGCAAGTGCTGTGCCATGTAGAGTGAAACTACAGCCTTACGATCATGCTTCAGGCGAGGACATTATATCCTATCTCGCTGAGTTTGAAGCATTATCATCACAAGCTGGCTGGACTCTGGAAATGAAAATGCTTCAATTAAGAAGTCTACTAACAGGAGAGGCTCGTGAAGTTTCAGCTCAAGCCCACAAATCATATGAAGATCTGTCAAAAGCTTTGATAGAAAGGTATGGAAAAAAGCCATATCAGTACTTCAAAATGCTATTGGATGTCCAAAAACACCAAAAAGAGACATATCGTGGACTTATGGCAAGAGTGAAACAATATGTCATACGTTTCATTGATGACAGTGAAGATGTTCTTGGGAAAATAGAAGAGGAATTTTTCCTCAGTGCTCTTCCAGTGTCACAGGCACAATGGATCCGCAGGAACAAAGGATCTGGAACTGTTGTGGATGCAGCAGAGGATTATATTTTTCCGGAGAGGAGCACAACAAAAACCAAAACACAGGTTAGTCAAGCTTCCGTAGAAACATCAAAGACGGAATCGAAAAAGAACTTTTCTGATGAGCCAATGAAGAATGTCAGGTGTTATAATTGTAACAAAATGGGCCATATTGCAAAGAAATGTCCAAAGGCCAACAAGAACAACATAATCAACTTGTTAGTCAACAGTCATTCTGACGGCCTTGTTCACCTGCCAGGTGAAGTAAACGGAAAGGACATCAGTTTTGTGAAAGACACTGGTGCAGTTATGACATTGATTAGGGAAGATTTAGTCGACCCTAGATATGTATTAGAGGGACAACGTCAGACTCTCTATACAGCAATCGGTCAGCCATTTTCTGCAAAATTGGCTGTAGTAGACATGGAAACGCCATTCTACAAGGGACATGCCCAAGTTGGGTTGGTACCTGACCTGGCCGCGGAGGCATTATTGGGTATGGACATTATGGAACGGAAAACCATCAACGTGGTTACCAGAGGACAAAAACGTCAACAGGATAAAGAGGACGCAGAGGCCTCTCAGAAAGTAACCATGGAGACCAAGGGAAATTCTGAAGTGGCAGAAAACCATAATGTCAGGGAGAGTGAGCTCAACTCACAGGCCAATGACAGTGACGCAAATAAGGACACTGAAGATTCAGAATCTATAGCGACAACAAATGATGAGTCAGAGGTCATCATTGAAGAAAAAAATTACACCAAGGATATCTCAAAAATAAATGTGGAAACCCTTAGAGAGATGCAAATATCGGATGTGTCGTTAGCAAACTTAAGGCGAAAGGCAGCAGATTCTTCAGAGGAAGTTGATTCTGATTCCAATGCAATATTTTGGGAAAACGGTGTTCTTAAACGGAAATGGAAGGCAACAGATGGTGTGAGATCTGGTGTTCAGGTGATATTACCTGTAGATCTCAGGAATCAAGTAATCGAGCTAGCTCACAAGAGAGCACTCGCAGGCCACCTGGGAGTCGAGAAAACAAAGGAACGTATTCTCACATCATTCTACTGGCCAGGTGTTTTCAAGGATGTTACACAATATTGTAGGACTTGTGATGTTTGCCAGAAAGTGGCTAAGAGGCGTTGTGACGAAAAAGCGCCATTAGTGCAACCGCCGATAGTGGGTGAGCCCTTTTTCAAGATCTCAATGGATGTAGTAGGGCCATTGTCGAAGTCAAAGAGAGGAAATAGATTTATCCTCACAGTGATGGATGACGCGACGCGATACCCAGAGGCCTTTGCGCTCAGGAATGTGGATGCTGCAACTGTAGCTGATACCCTGATTGAAATGTTTTCACGTGTTGGATTTCCACAGGTGATTCTTACGGATCAAGGTTCAAATTTTACATCGGTGCTATTGAACAACCTGTATGAAATCACGGGTATCAGAGGGATCACCACATCTCCATACCATCCACAAGCCAACGGAAAGGTGGAAAGATTCAATGCTACACTGAAGGCCATCTTGAAAAAGTTGTCAACAAGTAATAAAGAGGAATGGGACACTTTATTACCCTATGCGCTTTTTGCGTACCGTGAAGTGCCTCACGAGGAAACAGGGTTCTCGCCATTCGAGATGCTCTATGGTTGGCCAGTTCGTGGTCCAATCCAGATTTTAGAGAAGGCTATGACAGGTGAGGATGAAATTCAAAGAACTGTTGTAGACCATGTTGTTAACATGCGTGAGCGCCTGTCAGAAATAAGGGACACAGTGCGTGAAACACTTGTTATCAAACGCCAAAAGATCAAACAATGGTATGACCAAAATGCGACCAACAGGGAATTCCGACCAGGCGATGAAGTATTATTACTTCTACCCTCAGACAGCTCCAAAATGGTTGCTCAGTGGAAGGGGCCATATCGGGTCATACGTAAGGTTACCGACGTCAACTACGAGATTAGCGTAGGAGGTCGCCGAGGGAGAGTGATTTATCACGTTAATCTACTCCGCAAGTACAACAGATCTGTACCTCAGATAGGGTTTGTACAGAGACAGCCAGACGTTAATCCAGCCGAGGATGTTGGTGACAATGTGGACGAAATCACAGACGTGAAACTTGGCGCTAACCTCAACAAAACACAGCGGAAGGAACTACGGAGGCTTTGTGAGGACTTTCTGGATGTCATTAACTCAGAACCAGGTAAAACTACTCTGGTTACACATACTATCAAGACAACGAATAAAAAGCCCATAAGGCAACAGCCGTACCGAATTCCTCAGTCAAAACGTGGAGAGGTGAAGAGGATAATCGACGAAATGTTGGAGAAGGGTCAAATATCTCCATCGTCAAGCCCATATTCAGCACCGGTAGTTCTCGTCGAGAAGCCTGACAAATCGATTAGACTGTGTGTGGACTATCGCAAATTGAACGATATTACTGAATTTGACGGATATCCGATACCACGCATAGACGAAATCTTCGAAAAACTGGGAAAAGCCAAGTATTTAAGCACCATGGACTTAGCCAAGGGCTACTGGCAAATTCCTTTGGCAGAGGAGTCACAGGAAAAATCAGCTTTTGTAACGGAATTCGGCCAATTCAAATTCCATGTAATGCCATTCGGAATGAAAACAGCGCCAGCTACTTTCGCTCGAATGATGGACAAAATGCTGAGAGGACTGTCAAATGTAGTTGCCTATTTTGATGACATTGTGGTTTTCACCGAGACATGGGAAGATCACAAGACTCAGTTACGCAACGTTCTACAGCGTCTGAGAGAAGATGGCTTAACCGTGAAACCCTCCAAATGTATTCTTGGAGAGGAGGAGCTGTATTGCCTTGGTCATGTTGTTGGCCATGGATCTGTCAAGCCTGATGACCGGAAAATAAAAGTCATGACTGATTTTCCACTCCCTCAGTCCAAAAAGGGAGTAAGATCATTCCTCGGAATGACGGGATATTATCGTAAATTTGTGAAAGACTATGCACGAATCGCGGAACCATTGACCGATATGTTAAAATCAAAAGAACCTACAAAAGTTGTATGGACCGAAAATAGAGTGAACGCGTTCAGGGCTCTGAAGGATGCAATGACACAAGCTCCAGTATTAATCAACCCTGACTTTGAAAAGCATTTCTATCTACAAACAGACGCGAGTAACACAGCTATAGGTGGAGTTCTGAGCCAAAAAGTTGACGGTGATGAGCACCCAGTCGCGTACACGAGTCGAAAACTACTCCCACGTGAAATTAACTATTCGACAGTAGAGAAGGAATGTTTAGCCATTGTGTGGAGTATTGAGACATTTGGATATTATCTGAATGGTGTTCAGTTCACGGTTGAGACTGATCACAACCCATTAGTTTGGCTGGAGAAAACCAAACTGAAAAACCAGAGACTGATGCGATGGGCCTTAGCATTACAGCCCTATTGTTTTGACATTAACTATCGAAAAGGCTCAAACAATGCAAACGCTGATGGGCTATCGCGCATCGAGTAAAGGCAAAGAGAAGAATGAAACTTTTAAAATAATTTTGTAACTTGTTTCTGTTAATATTCTGTGCAGTAAAATAATTTAATAGTGTAGGCAGTAGTGAAATAGCAAATTCCAACAGGATTAAATCTCAGTGCAGAGACTAAGGACATGAACTTGGACACGAACAGTTGTAGTGATAGATTGATTATTATAAAGTCACTCTGTGGATTATGTGTTCCAGACAACATTAACCCGTGAAATTTATCTTAAGGGGGGAGGTGTTAAGAGTGAAATAATGACACCAAGTGAGTGGCGAGTTTAATTAGTGTTCCGGCTCATCGTACAATTTTAGGGTGTCTGATGTTAGCCAGTACCGTGTCATATAAATTTCATACTGTCAGGACACTAGGCGTAGTGACCAGCCGATGACCAGTTAATGTTGTAGTGTGCCAGATAAGGTCAATTAATGACCCCTGCTGGAGTTTCAAGAGTTTAAACAGACTTTAGAATTCCTTCACTCTTATCTTCATCTCTGATAATTATTACTTTCATCTGTTTGATTGTATCTGTAAATTGTCTGTATCATGCATGTTTTAGTCAGTCCAATGTAAACCTCCGAGCTAGGCACACGTCTACTCGTACCTTCCAGTCTTAATACAGTTTAGAACCGAAGACAAGAGTTAATTGTTATTTTCTCTATTGTATCCGGAGGCTGAGGGTAACATTCATCCTTACATTGTTATGTTCCGAGTTTTCCAATTGTCCTCCTAAAGCAATGTTGTCTTCATAGTTGTATGTCGTAGATTGTAGGTAGGTATGTAGGTTGGTTCTTATCACTCTATAGCTGAATTGAATTTATTGAATGATGTGACATGCAGAAATTAACATATCTTTCGACTAGTGTTTTTCTTCCTTGGTCGCATTATAGATTTCAAAACTTTGTGCTGCTTACATCAATTTGATGAGACCTAGAAAAGCAACAAAGAAAATACCGACATGTGAAAGGAATAAAAATTCAAATACCTATGACAGAAACCTTGATACGGTAAACAAGCCTAGAATATCAAATCAAGTGTGACATGTAAACACCATAGGTTGGGGATGCTATTCATATTGAAATATTCGCAATAGTAGAACTGAAATCATCTTCCTCCGTATATTTCTTCTTTGATTTGGATGGTTAAAAGGATGAAACTTCAGCTTGCAGTTAAATTCTTTTGAGCATCTTTGCTATAATCGTTTTAATATTTGATATATGATTACTTGTTAAAAACAATGGAATTCTGACGAAAGTCTTGCCCTCAATTATTTTAACAAAACAAATCGTGAATATAATAAAGAGATGCGAGATGTGATACTGCTTTACGATAAAATCACATGTTACGGACTCTTGGTGCCTATTATCTGCTGAAACATGTAGTCCTGTGATTATACTTATAGTCATGATCACACTGTAGCTTATCAGATTCCAAGAAAATGTTCCCGGTCATTATTTGAATTACCAAAACCTGAAATTTGATTCTTACACAGGACGCATATGTCAATCTGGCATGTTTGACTACTATGCTCAATCCCTCACAACGCCATCACATCATGTTGAAATGTTCAAGATTCAATTCAACAATAAGTTCAAATAAGTGCTGATTTTCATATCATTAAAATGAGCAACACATGCTTGAGTATATTATGAATTGGTGAAGTCGTCTATGAGAATTTATACGTGACATCTATATGACGTAAAGCCTCGGGACTAAGAGGTTGACCTGCAGAGCTAACCATTCGTTGATCGCAAAGTCTTTTATGCTTTAATTAACATATTAGTGGATAAACTTCACGTATAACATAAAATATTATGTACACCACTTTTAATTCATTCGAATAGCGGCAGGTTAAAAAGTTTTTGAAATGCAAATGCAGGTTTCCTCAGTGGCCTTGAAGATATTAAACAATTTTGACCCTTGGTCCTAGTAGACAAAAAATCTTTGGTTAAATTTGCATTGTTAGGTGCAATGCGCTTGCAGAAATAACAAGTTTGCTGATGTTTAATTAAATTATAATACAATGCTCGTTTCGGGAATCTATATTTATTTTGATCATTATGAAGCAAAGTAACTTTTGATATACAACTCACATTGATCAGTATTAGTAATTTTTAATATAACAAGTGAAAATCGTTTATCAAAATTCCGCAGAAAAAGTTTGAACCACTTGATGAAAACAAATCACAAGCTCTGCAACAACCAATCAAATTCGCTCATTAACATTCAACACAAAGTGTCTTTGCTGAATGAGTTTCAAGCATCAATAGACACATTTGAGGAATACCTGTTTACAATGTATTTGAGGATTCGAAGCATACAGTTATTGAACACAGAGTTAGAAATAAAACAAGAAGATATTTTATTACTAGCCACGGTGCTTGTTGTGGATACATGTACATTGCACGAGTGAAATGAATTGGAATGTTAAGAATAGTTCCCCGACTTGGGGTATAGATTTTGACGTCACAGTCTCGCCGAGTTGATTTTACTTCCATCTATATTGCCTCCTCGGACCAGGCACTGAGTTCTGAGATCGTTAACTCCACTGATTATCTCAAGAAGCCACAAGTAACAAAACCTTCTTCTCTCAATATCACGCTCCAAAACACCAGAGGATAGGTCATAACAGAGAACAACAAGGGCGTCACTGAGATCGCAGGCGACCATCTGTGACTTCCTCAACGAGATACTAGAGCAGAAGTGATATATCACATCCTATGTGGAAACTATATAGCATCTTCTGTATTAGTATTATATGTTTCTGAGTCCTGTTCTGTAGGGGAAACAGAAAAAAACGTATATTTACAACGTAAAATTTGAGTTTTTTCTACGAGCTCATTTTATGGTGAACCTGGACGGTTAAATTTAGATATCTAAATATTACCAGATGCACTTAACCAAGCATGCAAACAAATAAGCCAACCAAACTCGTTATTACGTTGGGTACTAAAAAGGTAAAATGTGTAGATGTGTATATTTAACACAATTGCATTTTGAATTCACATGGATCATCAATGGGTATTATTTAGAAATTTGCATCGATATTTTCACTCGGGCAAACTACAGTAGTCGGTCTATTTCCCAAACAACACTCGTTGTTTAAATCAAAGAAGCAATACATCTATTAACCAGCCACTGAAATACGAGATTAAAGCTCTAAAGGATTAATTATTTTGTTAGTATCTTATGATCTAGTTGTCACTAACATACTTCTTTCAATTATCCCATGTCATATGCATTACAAGCCGATGTAGTTATTTTAGAGGGAAATATATCGACAAACTGTATAGACAAGAAAGAGACTCCATAAACGTGGGATATCTGTCGTATGCATATTTTCTCGTGTTAATGTTTCATTACATTTGTATGCATATTTCATCGTGCATCTGCTGTGAATGCTATGCTCTATCAGTCACCTTTTCTTTGAAATACTTATTTTATACACCTAGTTCGTTTTCATTACTTTTAGTTATCTCGTTAAGCACTATAATATATTTTGTCTGAATGCATTAAAATCTCGTGTTGTTATATTGCTCTATTTGAGCCAAGTGAATAATTGGATTGAACATATGAATTATAAATTTCCGTCTGAGTTATAGGTTGCTTAGGCGATAGAGATAATTGTTTCACATTTTTTTCTTATTTGTTGACAAGAGACTATGCGGTTGATTAAGTTTTAAAAACGTTTACGCAGAATCATTTTTTGTAAATAGGTAAGAACCTCCTTTATATATGACTTCTGTTAACCTGAATTATTTTCTGGATTATTCATTTAGGCTTATCAATATGTAACTGATTATATACATGTTCACTGATACGTTTATCTTATCAAGGGGATTACTTTTCCTATATTGTAACAACAACAGTCACTAGTTATACACGCCTGCACTATGGATTATATTGTTTCTTAAAATCTGAGAAAAAAGGGACAACAATGAAAGGAAAAAAATAAGAAGTAAAATATGTTATATAAGTTTTCATTAATTGACTTACTGTGAATAGAAAGGAAAAATATGTAATATGTAAAATTCATTCAAATCAGCTGTGCAGTTAATTGTCGATTCTGATGCATTATGCTGCTACCTGTATTTGCCACTTATCTTACCTGTCTAGCGACACTTTATGTGTATGTTGATATGACGAACCGGTCCAGGTATTCGTTGGCCATGCCATACGTTGTTGCATTCATATCGTGTAGTAAGTTTATGAGTTTGCCAGGAAACTAACACCTATTTTGTTTTGTTTGTTCAAACCAATAACAATATTGCTGTATAATTAAGGACTTGATGCATTATGTTGTCATTTGTACAGATAAAAATACGCCTATCATGGAATATTTTAGCTTTTCAATCCTATGAAATTTCCGGATTAAAATCTATAAATACTTATTTGAATGATGTATGAATGACTGTGTAAAATGACAGAATTAGATATGGAAAGTTTCAATGAAAAAAAGGGCATAAGTCGGGTAAATATAGATACATTTCGGGTAAATTCCACCTGTCTACACTTTCATAGTAATTTACATAACAGAAACATCATGTGTTTTATTCATAATGCAGAAATATTATTTTGAGATTATTTTGGCAAATGTCAGCACGTTATGACATCATCTCTGACGGTAATCATCGACAAGTTCCTGTAACTTTTTTCAGTTATTTACATTTTCTTTTAAAAATAGCAGGCTGGAGACCAATAAGTCAAAAGTTCATATTCTGGAACGTGAATTGAGTGTGGTCAGGAAGGAAAGACAAATCAAACTCGTTATTGACGACCGGTACAGAAATGGTAAAAAGTGTAGATGTGTAGATCCAATGCGATTACATCTTGATCAACTTTCATTCACATAGAACATCAATGGGTATTATTTAGAAATTTGTAACGCACACTTGGCAATAAGTTGACATATTGACCAAGTGATATGATCCGACAGACGACATTTTGTTTCTTGACTCCTTGTTTTGGCGTATATACAGATAAGATAATTCCAACTTGGCATGTGATATCGAAGAAAGTCTTGTAGATTCTTTTATTCTGGGTTCCATTAGGAAGTAAACAAATTACTTATGCAACATATATATACAATGAAAAACTTGTAAATTGCTAACGACATTTTTTCATATCTATATGAAAATTGAATTGTTTGACATGGCTTCTTATCTAACCAAATGTCGAGTTCTCAGTATTGGCTCACAGGCTCACAGGAGTTACGATATATAACAGAACCAGGAACCAAAATGTCTATGATTCTGATGTTACTAATTGGACTATCATTACTAGGTGTGTCGACAGCCTGGAAGAGTACAGAGGAATTGTATGAGTTGCAGACACAACTCGAAGGGATCAGTACAATATCCCTTCTGGTCACTGTCAACGATACCTGGGATCCGAGGTATTCTGTGTGTCAAGGCTGAATTACAAATATCTATCTTGTGCAAACTAAAACGAAAGGAATATACGTTAATTGCATTGAAATATTTTAAAAGTGAAAATAACCCTACGTATTGTTTAAAACGAACATTTTGATATGGTCAATTGTCTATATTCAGTAGGGTTTCAATATGCTGCCCTTCGTTAACATATTATGAGAATCCCTTTCGAATGATACATATTGGTTATATGTTGATGTGTACAGTCTCTATTTCACATCCAATACAATCTCGAAATAAGTCAATCCTTTACATACAGTACAATTTCGATATCGTTACCTTCTGGTTCTTCAGCAATTTTTTTTACAAAATGTAAATTCATAAAATTCTGTAAAATTTCAACATTTATAAACATGTACAATGACATTTCGATGTAAAGTAAATGCATTTACCGGCTAGTATGCTTGTTTTTATACATATACTGCAGAAAGGATTATGAATTTTGGTTTTAACATTAGACGAAGTCGAGTGCTAAAACGACAAAATCCATTATCTAGTCTCAATTATAAGCACAAAAACAAGCATACTAGCCACATTCTTAAATAATTTGAGTCTAAAAGTTTTGCAATTATCGCAATGTCAACAAACTTCAACAAAAGCTTAGATCTCCTATTTTTGTTTGAACCGTTACCTAGCATGTTCTTTAGCTAAACAAAACGCTCCATTCAACCATTAATGACGTAAAAAGTTGTTTATATTGCTTCCTAGTGTACATACACGAAATTCTAAGTCAGAATGATGAAGGTGATTATTCACTAAAGTAAGTCGATGTAACAATAGTCATTTTGGAGAGACATCAACAAGGGATCGTGGCAGGAGAATCATCTGCCTCAAGCGAAAAAATGGCCACCATGTATCGGCTAGTTTCTGAATTCATTAGCATATCGTGGATAACATCCTGAAAAGTTATTTTTTAAAAATATTAAAATGGTTTACATAACCATTTGTTTATATTTGAATTTCGATGTACGACTTCATATTTTGCTCGCAACAATATATTCAAAAACATAATTCGGCATTCAATTTTTTTCCATGTCATGACCTGACTACAAAAATGTAAGGAAAGTAACATCGTATTTGCAAAGGTTGAGTGAGTTTTATGTCTCTGCATTTATCCCGCAGTGCATTACCAACAAAAGTTTTTAATTGTTAATATTTCTCCACACTTAATCTATATTTCTTTATTGTGAGTACTCAATCTCATCAAAATAACAGGTCAGATAAACATATAACGCATGATTTCCAAGGATTTCAATAGTTGGTAATCGAAGGATATGTAAACTTAGTAACAGTAGATCTCTTATGCGATATAAAGTTAGTTCATCGTGCTCATTGGGATTTATATGCGTGTTGGGTGACGTTGACGAAGAAGAAAACACTTACTCCTCCGGAACACATGCTTTCGTTCCCCTTGTTGATGAAACTATTGACGTTCGCTGTCTCAACATGTAAAATCTAAGACTGAGAATTGCAATAGTACCATCATTCTACCTTCGTATATATCTATACACATTGTATACATATTTACGTGTTCAATGGCGACACCGGATAAGGTAATGGCCATTCGGTCTAATGGCTTGGAATAAACTGTGTCAGCCTCTCTGTGTGTCTCTGTCTCTACCTGTGGTCCTCTTATGTATTTGTGATCCTCTGTCCTTTATGGTGGTCACTAGTCAATATTGTTATAAGGAAACACTGATAGTTTACTGCGCATGCCCTAAATGACAGTGGATAATTCAGGTTGTTGAAATTAACTAGAATAAAAGACACACAAAATTATAGTTCACTTATTTAGCAGATGGTAAAACGTCATGAAGAAAATATCCTGATTGTTATTTGCAGTTTGGGCATTGGTACTCAACTGACATAATTTTTAAGGAAATAACAGAGGAGGCTAATGAATCCAGGTTTTAGCCAAAGGTACCGTGGATGATCGAATTAGCAAACGTGTGAATAAAACAATGGAAGGCACTTGACAACATCGTGCCAAACAGTCTTACATTACATTGCATCATTGGAAAAAAGCTATCTAAAAACTGACATTAAGGACGGGAAGATTGGATAGAAAATAATACCTGGTGAAAACACTACGAGGCTTACCTTAAATAAAACTAGGGATCTAACCTTGAGGATGAAAAATATTGTGTCAAACTAAAAACAGCAATATTACTTTAACACACTGTTGTGCTTTTAAAATTATAGTTTATATATTAAAAACCATCACTATCGATGAAAGTGATCACGACGTGTTCGAAAGATACGCGCTGCTATTTCATATATTAATAAGTACGGAGAACAGCGGTCTTTATTTGTTTATCTTTCATATTAATTGTCTTTATTATCAACCCGTATTCTTTCAAATAAAAGAACCTATTGTTTTTGACATAAACTAATGATGGTCCTGTGTTGTGAATTTGACCTATATGAACTATTAAATGTTAATATGTTGGTTAATTAAATGATTGAACATTGTGTTCAACATATGTTAGATTTTTAATCATGATTTATCGGCCAGAATGAAGCTTAATTTTGACATCTATTGATTAGTGGTGAATTATGTATTGACCAGAAGTCAGAGGCATACTGTTGTTACATAATCTACGACACATGGTCTATGTTATTAATTCATTCCCTGATTACATAAGTTATTACCTAAGCTCTATCTAGGCAGTTCGCATGAAGGTCGGTGTATACTTATCTTGAGGAAGACAATCTAATCAACGACCATTCTCTTGTTTAAGTCGATGACAATAACTCATGATTACTCAATCTTTGTTAGCCTATTTATCTATTATGTAAAACTATTTAAGTAACAGTTTCATAATATTTTGGTATAAATAGACCTGTCATGGTCTGCCAAATGAGAAAAGAAAAAGAGCAGAGGCCAGACAGGAGAGAGGTTGGCTCTCCGTTGGCGGGACGCCCGCTCGCTCGGGGTTTTGCCCGAGAAAGTAAAACTTTACGTCTGAACTTAAGTATTCTAAAGTCATAGTTACCGTAAATGCTTACCAGACTGTTTACATGTTTAGTGTATATAGTTAAATGCATGTAAAGATTAAATAATGTTCAACAATGACAGTTTGCATCAAGTATTTACATCATATGTAAAACAAATGAATGGATTTCAACCATACTTTCATCATGGACTTTTAACATATTTTATATTTAACAAATTTTGATTCTATCTACCCCATTTGGATCTGTAATGATAAGATAAATCTATGTCATTATGTATTGCATGTGATGATGGGCAATGTTCCAATGTAGATTGACAGAAATACATTATGGCCCAAAAAACATCCACATTCCTGTTTTACAATTACCAGGGTCTCAAAGCTAATATTTTGATTACGTTGCAATGCCTATATATATGTTTAGGGGGATGGTGAAGGGGTTGGTACAAATCATATCCTTTACATTTGACACTTAAATGATACCGATCTAAATGAAAATTGAATACTAAGTATTTGTGTAATATTGTAGAGGATGCATTGAGACCATAAAAACTCCACCTATAACTCTGGGGAAGCGATTTCACAATATTGAGGTGGGAACATGTGATTATGGAGCCATTACTGTCAGTATGGTGAAGGCTGGCAATGGACGGGACGCTATGGTAGGCCTTTCCTGTTTCTATATTTCATATCTAATCATCATTGAAGCGTTGTGTCTACATCTTATGGACTGTCTAGACGATATAGGCTTTTATGAAGTACATGAATGTGTTTGTGGTGAACGGCACAATTCCGAAAAGAAATAGGCGGAGGATAGTTTTGCTGGAAAACGATAATTAATCGTGTTTAAATATGGATTTAAGGTTTGCAGAGAAGTAATTCAGTGACTATTCCTTGTTTCTCAACGTATACACAAACGATATCCTTTCTTCTCTTATCTTTGTATACCCGTGAACATTATTTTTCGATACACAATAACTTTGCCTAATGTGAACCATCTTTTTATCTTCCACATTCTTTTCAAGAATATTAATAAAAATAACAGAAATGAGGATTTCGTCTATTTCAGCAGTATTCTTTTTTTTCTGAAATAAACATTGTAAAATGAGAAAAGGTTGTGCATAAGAAACATTTTCAGTGCTGTGAGGACCTATCATACTCGATTCGTGTTTGATGTGGGTATTGTCTGTTCATTTGTCATTTTCTGTCATGCTCTTTAATATCAAACCACTCTAATGGCTCATGTTTGGACCCAATACTCATAGGCCCCTTTTATGTAATGTTCTTTGCGTTTGTGATATTGTAAACTTTACTAACATAATTTCCTTTGCAGAGTTTGGATATCATGTTTGAATCGCATGTGATTGTGGACGCTTCTCATCCGGAATGTCGATTTAACTGGAATGGATCGTACTTAGTACCTACTGCAGAAAATCCCAAAAAGTCTCTCCTCCCCGGATGTTTTGTGATGGACTCACGTGAAGGCTACCATATGACGTATTATTGGTTCCATCTGCTGGACTGGAATTTCGGTTAAACTACTTAATTCATGATCGTTTCAAATATTAAGAGAATGTACACAATTAGTAACTCATTAGAAAATTTATTTCATAGAGTTTTTTCTTGCAAATCATTTTTTTTGTTTCCAAACCAGAAAAGAAATCACTAATTCTAATTACAAAGATTTTCAAGACAAACAGTCCGATAAGAAAACAAGAATTTTGAATTTGCAGTGTTCGTTTTCTCACTGCTTTCAAGATAAAATCTGTTCATGGCCCATTTTTACTAAATTCCAACAGGTGTCTACGTTATTCTGTATCGAAGTCTGTTGAATAACTGCCTTTGACAGAGATATCATTCTACAAAATTTGATAACGGTAAGCTAACTTGTGGTGGATATTGTAAATCAAAGTCAACATTTGTCAATAGTGCGAAAATTGGAGTAATTTTCCCTTCTTGTTTATCCAATTATGGTTGTTCTTTCTACACTGATAAATATTATATTTTAATCCTTTTGTGCAAAGAGACCTGTTCGATACTGAGATAAAGCAAACAATCCAAGAACATTGCGTTGCTCTGTAAGACAAAACTGTATAAATATGGACAGCCTTCAGACAGAATAAATTCATAACATCACTGAAGCAACAAACAACAATCATGTTCAAATTTCTCAATGATTCAGAGAAACATAATACATATTTATGTGAAATATGCATGTAAAATATATCATTTCAATAAGTATGTGTATAACTGAAGTACATCGGATTGTTTAAATGTACCTTAACGAAGCATTTAGCAATAACAAAATAACTTCAGAAAAAAATAATTGATAAAGAATAAGACAGCTAATATTGTGACTTTATACTCATAGCATATTTCACTAAAACTGAAACCTATGAAAATCATGTAAGTAACGTATAACATGACAGTAAATGATTTATCAATAAATGGTATTGATCCTGTTCCAAATTAACCTGTACAACCGCGTTAACCTTGCTAATTAGGACTGATTTTGGTTATTGCTTTGTTCAATATACATCACGTCAACAAAATTTCAAAGCACAGTAAGAAAGTGTGTAAATGTTCTTACTGGATACACAATATTGTTAAACATATAATATGGAACTAAACCATTTTAAGTTTTGGATTAATAAGAGGAAGTTTCCTTACAAAACATCGGTGAATTCTTACTAATTTGTGGTGTTTATAGCGAGTACAGGTATGTAGAAATCCTGCCTATTTGGAATTAATATCATCGGTTCTCTGGTAATTGCAAATGTTTTAGCATTAAGTAATACTGGCACCCTCGATATTCCATCACTATCATACTATGCACTCCTAGAACATTTCTTGGTATAATTATAGACACAAGCAAAATAATTTGATTTGATTGTCTAGATCGGGTTTTAGAAGACAAATCACCTGATTAATCACAGGTTGATACGCTCGTTTGAAGATTACAAAGGACTGGCACCCAACTTCAAAGCCATTACATACTGTTATGCGACCTCGAAATTCGTTTAATGTATATCAAAGGATCTAACTAGTCCCTTCATCTTATCTACAAGATGTCGCACACGGAAAATTCAATTTTGACATGAAATATCACACGGTTGAAGAGAGCGATAGTAAACGTAACCCCTGGGGTATCGAAGGTGCAATAATGGTAAAGGTCGTGATAAATGTTATCTTTACACTAAATACAGCGCGCAGATACAATACTCAGAAGACACTTATCCTCCTACAACACATGATATTTTTTCGTCATACTTTTCCTATGGTCTACGTGTTCATTTCAAGATACTTATGAATTCTCTTGAAAACTATGCAAAAGACTACGTTGAATTCACTTTCTGAGTCCATTCGGTCCATCATTCGTAAAAGAATTTGTAGCTTGAAATCAGAAATGAAAAAAAAACACATGTCAGCTTTACTCAGTCCTCATGTTCAACCCACATTTCAAGATTTAAATGACAAGTATGTTATTGTGCCCGAAGATAAGGCGTGCAATAACTGGATTCTTTTCTGTAAACTTTATTTCATTTTCTTTATAGAAAATGAACTGGGCTTGCTTGAAAACGAAGGAAACCCCACCTATACATTATGTAATCTTTCAAAAGAAGAAATGCTAGCGAATCATGCTTCGGTATTTCAATAATTTATTTTGCCTATTAATGATGATAAGGATACGGACCTCCCATTTATATTGGATTCATAAACTTCAAAAGAATTCATATGAACAGCCTTTGTAAAAACTATTAACCACCATTTAAGTACTATCAAATCTAGGTCACAGTTCCATATTGAGAGATTGTTTACTCAAAAAGCGGAATTATATTATGTGGATTTTGAAGAATTCCAAAGGAGCTTTTGATCAATCTTCAACACCCTCTTCTACAAAACATTTCTTCTATAAGAACATTTGATATACATTTACCATCCTGTATACCAGGATCAATTCCAAGAAAGGTGAACAGCGGTATAAATTTATCGTTGTAGACTAAACTGAAAACGTATTTCGTAAAAGATACGCCCAAATCAAAGAAGAAACTTATGGAGAACGACATCATAAAACTGTTAACATCATCGTCGAGTTTGGTTGTAAGATCCTCCAATAGATTATTTGCATACTTATGTTAACTGACCTGCTCCTTTGATGGCTGACTTGTTTTTGTTGTCATACGAGGGTGAACGTATGAAAAACAAAATACCTTTGTCGTTTAATTTCACTTTCAGATATATATAATTGATGTATTGTCTTTAGATAATAGGAACATTGTGGAGATTATAGACTCGACAGAGTCTTCTACATAAGCTACTGATCTTGATCTTTTCCTACAACGCAAACAACATGGACAGCTTTTCAAGCTGTATGATAAACGTGATGATTTCAATTTACCTATAGTGAATTTTCATTTCTGAACAGACAAACTCGTAACACAGGGTTTCAAAAGATGCGGTCGATGAAAATTTTGGGGAAGTTTAACTGTCGTCATAGTGATCTCAACAAAAAATATTTTATTTTTTTGTGTGATATGAAGCTGGAAGTGTTTGATGCTCATTTGCTTGCGTGTTGGTTCCGTTGATGTATACCTCTATTTCATTTGAGAATGTGATATTACATTGATTGATCAGGGTTTATATGGCGGGTGTCGTCGAATAAGCAGAAAATGCTTACTCTTCCGGAACACCTGGCCTTATTCTCCAAGTACTTTATCGGGAGTTGCCATGTAAATCTTTCTTTTGTTCATATTAAAACCTCTTTTTATAGAATTTGAGTTTAGATTATTATTCTAGATTTTTGAAAACCATATTTTGCAAGTTTCATTCAGTTTGAGTTTGAATTCATTTTTTATAAGCATGTCGGTGAGTGCCTCTGTTTTTAAAGTTTTCCCATAAAAAGTCAAATTGTTAGTCAGACTGCATTATATATTGCATCTAAAGTTTAAACTGTGACGTAGTTTGTGTTCTAAGATATGTATTGATTTTACTTGAAAACGGCGGCAAAAAAATGGAATAATTATATAAATAGGAAAGACTGATTATAGGCAAAACGTTTGGTTAATACATAATTTGCATGTGCTGGGAAATTATCTCCAAAGGAATCGAATGCTGAATTATATTATTAGAAGACAATTTTTTTCAGTTTCTATCGAGTGACAGCACATATTTCAGATGTTAATAATATATAATTTCATCTTTGAAGTAGTTCCGTCTGTTGCAGATTCCCATTATAACATAGTTTTCGTGATTGATTTTAACTAATTCACTACATTATAATAACTCATGAAACATGTGTCGTGATAAGATATTTAAAGCAATGTAGTTTCAACAATATGAAAGACCAAAGCTTTAATAAGCTTAAGCAATTGAGACTGAATTTTCTTAAAAAAACACTAATTTTAATTTCAGATACATTTACATGATTTTTTTTTTCAATACTGCTATGCTTTAATGGACTGATTGAGATTATCTGCCAAGATAATTACGGCGTCAGATTGTTTAGAAGACTTTGCAACAATTTGTTAGATAATAAAAGTCAGCATTGTGATACGCTTAATTTGAGATAAGAAATGGAAACGTGTGCTACTTTTCAATTTTGATGACGGAATCCTTTGCTGAGACAACGTAAATATGGGAGGAAAGAGCTTTAATTGTATTTTGCATAAAGTAAACATTATCAAAAGAACGACAAGAACAACAAAGAACATACAAATGTTAACAGAGTCTTCAAACTCCTTAAAATGAGAGAAACATTTACACGGAGACCACTGAAGAAAGTATAGGAACATGGCAAGATATTCCTGAAGAATAATCGTCCTCCGGTTTATTGACAACATTCATCATGTAAATCCTCTTACCTAATGCCATGTTCGTTTCAACTGAGTTCAAGGGTATAAACATAGAAACTACGTCGTATACTAGCGAAATCAAGCACTTTATATCGCCCCAATAGGTAAAATATTCTAAGAGATCATGGTGTCGCCACCATGAATCTCTCCAATTGTCTTTGTCAATCCGCAACTCTTTGTGTTTAGTGTTCTTGTCATTTATAGTAAATTTCAGGAAAATGGGATAGTCACAACGGGGAAATCATCATGCTTATAATGCAGCGTACAGGAAAATCGATGCCAGCAGTCCTTGTACAAGAGCCTCTCTGGTTTAGAATTCCAATTGGACATGGCAAATGTATCGTGATCTGAAAACTAGACATTACCAATAAACTAAGTACATCTAAAGATTGATTAAAGGATGTTTGTGAACTGATTTGATAAACTCTTTGGTATGTATGTATATTCTGTCTAGTATGAAACAGAAAAAACCAAGTTGAGTGGCACATTTTGTTCCTATAGGTATGCCAATTGTCTGCTAAAATATCTGATAACCAAACTCGACTAAGATATTGTCAGCTAAAGGAAATGTCATGATCACGTTTTCTCTCTCGGGAGATTTCCTCTTGGCATTGATTTAATAGCTACAAAATGCACTCAAGCTTGATTCAAAATCTTATATATTCATATCCGTATTCCGTTGGAA